ACTCCCCCCACTTGTGCTCTCTGGCTCTCTCTATCTCTCTGTCACATAAATAAATTAAATCTTTAAAAAAATCAAATACAGGGTGGGAGGATGGGTTAGCCTGATGGTGGGTATTGAGGAGGATACATTCTGCATGGAGCACTGGGTGTTATGCACAAACAATGAATCATGGAACACTTCATCTAAAACTAATGATGTAATGTATGGGGATTAACATAAGAATAAAAAAAAAATCAAATACACAATACAATATTATTGACTGTAGTCGCCATGCTGTTACAGTACATCCCCATGACATATTTATTTTATAACTGGATATTTGTACTTCTTGATCCCCTTCAATAATTTCACACATTCCCAACCCCCTCTCTTCTGGCAACCACCAATCTGATCTCTACATCTAAGAGTTTTGTTTTGTTTGGTTTGCTTGGTTGGTTTTTTAGATTCCACATGTAAAGTCATACAGTATTTGTCTGTCTCTGTCTGACTTATTTCACTTAGCATGATTACTGTCTAGCTCCACCTGTGTTGTTCCAAATGTCAAGATCTCATTCTTTTTTATGGCTGAGTAATATTACATTGTGTATATATATATATATACCAAATCTTCATTATCCATTCATCCATCAATGGACACTTAGGTTGTTTCCTTATCTTGGCTATTGTAAATAATGCTGCCATGAGCACAGCAGTCCATATATCTTTACAAATTAGTGTCTTCATTTTCTTCAGATAAATACCCACAAGGGGAATTATTGGATCATATAGTAATTTTATTTTTAATTTTTTGAGGAACCTCCGTACTCTTTTCCACAGTGGCTACACCAGTTTACATTCCCCCCCAACAGCAGATGAGGGATTCTTCACATCATTGCCAACCCTTGTTATTTCTTGTTTTTTTGATGCTAGCCATTCTCATTGTGGTTTTCATTTGCATTTCCCTCATAATTAGTGATGTCAAGCATCTTTTCAGGTATCTGATGGCCATATGAAGGATTTCTTTGGGAAAATGTCCATTCAGGTCCTCTGCCCATTTTTAATTAGATTATTTGTTTTTTGGGGGGGAGGGTTGAGTTGTATGTGTTCCTTATCTATTTTAGAAATGAACTCCTTATCAGATATATGATTCACAAATATCTTCTATTCAGTAGGTAGACTTTTAATTTTGTCAATGGTCTCCTTCACTGTGCAGAAGCATTTTAGTTTGATGTAGTCCCAGTTGTTTATTTTTGCTTTTGTTGCCCTTGCCATTGGAAGCAGGTCCACAAAATCAACACCAAGACAATGTAAAAGGAGCCTACTGCCTACGTTTTCTTCTACCAGTTTTATAGTTTCACATGTTACATTCAAATCTTTAATCCATTTTGAGTTTATTGGGTTTTTGTTTTGTTTTGTTTTTTAAGATCTTAGTTTTAAGTAATCTCTCTACCCAATGCGGGGCTAGAATTTACAACCCTGAGATCAAGAGTAACATGTTCTACCCATCAAAAACCAGTGATGTATTGTATGGTGACTAAGATAACACAATAAAATTAAAAAAAAAAAAAAAGAGTAACACGTTCTACCGACTGAGGCAGCCAGGTGCCCCTTGAGTTTATTGCTGTATGTGGTATAAGAAAGTGGACCAGTTTTATTCTTTTGCATGTCACTGTCCAGTTTTCCCAATTCCATTTATTGAAGAGACTCTCCCTTTCTAACTGTATATCCTTGCCTCCTATGTTGTAAATTAATTGACCATATAAGCATGGGTTTATTACTGGGCTCTCTATTCTGTTCTAGTGATCTATATGACTGTTTTTATGCCAATATCATATTGTTTTAATTACTATAGTTTTATAATAGAGTTTGGTATCAGGGAACATGAAGCCTCTAGCTTTGTTCTTTCTCAAGATTGATTTGGTTAATCAAGGATTTTTTTGTGGTCCCATACAAATTGTAGAATTGTTTGTCCTAGTTCTGTGAAAAATGCCATTGGAATTTTGATGGGGATTGCAATGAATCTGTAGATTGCTTTGGACAGTATGGACATTTAAACAATATTAATTCTTCCAATCCTTGAGCACAGAGTGTCTTTCCCTTTATTTGTGTCTTCAATTTCCTCTCACCAATGTCTTACAGTTTTCAGAATACAGGTGTTTCACCTCCTTGGTTAAATTTCTTCCTAGCTATTTTATTCTTTTTGATGCAATTGTAAATGGGATTGTCTTCTTAATTTTCCTTTCAGATAGTTTGTTGTTAGTATATAAAAACACAATAGATTTTTGTATATTGATTTTGTACCCTGAAACTTGACTGAATTCATTTATTAGTTCTAACAGTTTCTTGGCTGACTACATTCAAATTCCTATTTACAGCCATTCTGCAGATAAACAACAACAACAAAAAGCCTGTCTAGAATGCTAAGGGGTTCTCCAGTTTTTGTACAAAATAACTTGCAGCCAAACAAATCTAACTAATAGAACTATTAGGATATTTTCTCTATCCCCTAGTTTTTTACTTCTTTGGAAAAGAAGTAAATTTCCAGGGATTTCTGTTTACAATAATAGGTAATCTAGGATGCTGCTACTCAGAGGTTGGTCTGTGGGCCAGAGCATTGGCATCATGTGAGAAATGCAGAATCTCAGGCCCCACCCCAGACTTAATGAAACAGAATCAGCATTTTAACAAGACTGCCAGGTGATGCATATGTACATTAAATTTAAGAAAACTTCGTCTGAATCATTTTAAAACTCTTCCATGCAAAGCATCTAGGGGACCTTGATAACAAAACTCCACTTAAATGCATGCCCAAGGACACAAAAATAAAAGAAAACCCCCCAAAATGAAGAGGAACATGAAGAAATTTTTTTCTCTTTTTCAATAGAAGCTAAAATGGTAAGTGGGAACGGAAGCTTATTGACACCAGGAAATGAAGGGTGAGGAGTGGTAACACAAGGATTTGCATATTAATAGCCATAAAGAGATGAGCTTTGGCCCAGGGAAGGTAGGAAGAGACTGCATCAAGCTGGGATCCTCAAAGGGATCCACTCTCAGGACAGATGGATTAGGAAGAGATCCTCCCGACCATCAGAACAAAAGGACAAACATATTGGTTGAAGTAACACACAGAACTTTAGGAGATGAACACCTTAATGCACAGGCAGAGCAGCAGATCTGAAATCTGAAGAGAAAACCAGTTAAGAGGAAGACAGAGGTGGGGAAATGATTAAGGATGAACCAGGATAAGTGGAGCGAGGCAAACCATGAACATGAGGTTAGGGGGAAACAGAAGAGAGAATGAGAAGGTCTAACATGTATCTTTTAAGAGACTGGGTAGAGAGAACAGAGGAAATGGGAGAGAGGCAATATTGACAAAGATAATAGCTGTGATTTTTTTCACAACTGGTAAAAGACAAAGCCTGAGTTTCAGGAACCACAATAAGCCCAAGTAGAATTAATACCGCTAAATCTACACATCAACCCTCATGATGAAACCACAAGAAACCACAAAAAGTAACAAGGCCAGAGTAAAAACGATCAATTATTTATAGAGGAACACTAATTATACTGACAAAAGACTTCTTGATAGTAACAACAGAAGAAAATAATTCATTAACACCTTTAAAGTGCTGAGGGAAAAGAGCCATTATTCCAAAATTTTAAATGCAGCCAAACCATTATTAAAAAATGAGACATTTTCAGACAAATGAAACTGAAGAAGGAAAGCTCTCCCTGTTCTTCCTTATTGACAGTATAATAAAACTACCTCTCATAGCTTACTGAAATCAATAAAATTCTGTTCTCTAAACCTGTAGCCTAAAGAAGAAAAAAAGGGTATCTATGATTCTCTCCATCCATGCCCAGTATGATCATCTATGTGCTCCGTGTTGATGGGGGAAGCCTGCACAGGATTCTCTCTCTCCCGCTCCTTCCGTCCCTCCCCACTGTGCACTCTCTGTCAACAAATACCAATCAGCAAGACAGAAAGTGTTTAGATCAACTTCTCCTAAAAAAAAAAAAAAAAAACTCCTAAAAGTTCAAAACTCCAAGTCAGTTCTCTCCCCACTGTCCAACCAACACCCACACCAAAAAGTCACAACTCTTCTGGCCACATATTTCAGCAGATGAGAACTCACCAAGACTCCTATGAGTCTGGAATTTCTAACCTCTTGGTACCATCTCCAGCAGCCTTAGTTCTTCCTTCTAAATACCTCAGCACTTTCTTGGTGTTTCCAATTCCCACTCTCTTACTTCCAACAGAGAAGGAAAAGACGATTTATCATCTTTCCTTTAATGACCACAAGAAATATTGAATTCTTCTGGCCCAAAAGAACATTTCCCACAGGGCATCATCTTAAATCTTAATTACAAGTTTATGTATTATTCAGGCAATGCTAGAAACTTAGCTTCGGGTCAGCATTATACCATCAGTCTTCATTGACTCTCGTTAGTCTTTCTCCCCTCACTTCCAAATGATGGTCATTCCAGTCCTGTTGTTTCTTTAATTACCCTTCCGTTAGAATCCGCTTTTCCCTACAGTGCCCAACTTTCTCTGTCAGAATGCCCACCACTTCTCCAACTGAAGGACTTGACTCTCTGCTAGGCTCCTTGCTGGCAAGTGTTAGAGATGCAAACAGGCTATTTTCCACCCCCTAGATATCCAGCAGAAGTGATTTCTCATAGAAAAGGATTATCAGGTTAATACAAAGATTGTTCTCTTCTTGTACACATGCACACACATGCATACACATACACCCATACCATGCAGATACATACACCCACACACACATCCTTGCCCAGAGATGAAAATAAGGCCAGATGATTCTTCAGCAGTTGCTCAGAGATGCTACTGAGTTAATCAAAAAACTTATGATTTGAATAAGAGTAGCTATTACTTATCAAGTGCTGTGTGCAGGTCATCAGACTATATGCGTATGTCATTTAGCCCTGCTCCATGTATTGCTTCATTGTCTCCCATTTATGCTTCCAAAGTGCCCCCAGGCACTTCAGCCCCCACTTGCCGTGAGATTGTTGTGGATGAGTCTTTTTCTTCTTCCTGTGTATGCCGAGGTGTGATGAACAAATTCCCCATGCCGTTGCACTCTCTCAGGAGTCCTAAAATTACAAGAGTTCAGTTTGACATTAATGCCACTCCTCACAGGACACAAAAAGGTCAATCTAACAGCCACCATGATTTCTATTGTTTCATTCTGTTGTGTTTTGCCTGATGCTGGGCCCATCAGGAGGACAAGAAAGAGCCCAAGACTTCTCAGCACAATCATGGGAAACCCATTGTTTCTAAAGCACGAAGCCAGGAGCATGCAAACAAAAAAATATATACGTTATTTTCTTTTTTAGCTTTTTTTTAAGTTTTTACTTTAAGGGCACTTGGGTGGCTCCATCAGTTAAGCGTCTGCCTTCGGCTCAGGTCATGATCTTGGAGTCCTGGGATCAAGTCCCGCATCGGGCTCTTTGCTCAGCGGGGAGTCTGATTCTCCCTCTGCCTGCCACTCTCCCTGCTTGTGCTCTCTCTCTCTCTCTTTGACAAATATATAAATAAAATCTTAAAAAGGAATGGAACTACAACATTATCAAAGCTAAAACACCTGAGACAAAGTTTCTCATCGCTGGGAAGAAAAGCTGAATCCCAGAAGTCCTTACAGGAAAAGTCTACATAGTGGAATCATGTCTGAGAATGAAGGTTGTCTCAAAGCCTCATTCAGAAGGGTGGCTAGAGCTGAGAACTCACTCCCTCAACAATGTCAGGGGCACATGGATCTGGAAATTCTCTTATGCTATTCTTCCCTCGAAGCCAGTATGCCCCATGTCCAGGCAGGAAACTGATCTTCTGCTAGGAAATTCTGGATGCCACCCTGATTTATGTGGGAAACACTAAAGCCCTACAGGGCAGTCATAGTAATAGCAGTCATGAAACGGATTCTCTACAAGGTGAGGATATTAGAAATTACGACTCCTGAACATTCCCATGATTTGCATCCAAATCAAATTGGTTGCCTATATTTTTGACATTTATTCACAGATAATTATTGATGGCAGGCATTCTGCCAGGTGCTTAGGACATGGTGGTGGAAAAGCCACAGTACCTGACCTCACAGGGCTTGCAGTCTGTTGGGTGCCAGCGTACAAGAGCTGATGCCAACCAACCAGCCACGTCCTGCCAAAGCTGAGACTTCTCATCTGGGCTAAACTGCAGGACAGAGAGGAACCAAGGTCTACTGCAACAAGGGTAAGTTGCACCTGGGCACTCAAGACACAAATAATATCCTACTTCTTTTTTTTTTTTAAGATTTTATTTATTTATTTGTCAGAGATGGGGGAGGGCAGGCTTCCTGCGGAGCAAGGAGCCCAATGCAGGACTTGATCCCAGGACCGTGGGATCATGACCTGAGCCAAAGGTAGACGCTTAACCGACTGAGCCACTCAGGCGTCCCTTTTTTTTTTTCCTTAAATAATATCCTATTTCTTTGTTGTAAATATGTAGACATAATTCAATCATATTATACTCCAGGTCCAACCCACTATGATGAAAATGCACACCCTGAATATTTGACTTCATCTGGTGGCTCCGGAAAGGCTTCCCAGAGGAAGCGAATTTTAAGACTAGAGATAAAAGCCATTATATGATGGGTAGAAGGAGAATTATAGGCATCATCATGGTTAAATGACTTGGCTGAAAAAAAAACATGGGAAAAACTGAATATGGCTAGAATGCAGGAAGTGAGGGAGTAAGTCCACAAGACAGACCAGGCACAGAAAAGGGGTCCGGGGCCAAGTATGCAGGGTCTGAAGACCGTAACGGGGAGTTTGGACCTTATTCTGAGGAAGCAGGATATGATCACATTTTCATTTGAAGCAGATTACTCTGGCCACAGTGAGGACAACTGATTTTCACACGGTGACATTAAATACACGGATTCCACAGAAAGCTATTGTAGAAGAACAGGTGACAAGTACCAGTGACTTAGAATGGGGACTGTGAGAAAGAAGTGGATGGATCCCAGGGATATTTAGGAGGTGGTAATAATAATAGCTCATGGGCGTTAAGGAAGAGGGAAAGGCAAAGCTGACTCCCAGGTCTCTGGCACAAACTTCTTTTTTTTTTTTTATTAACATATAATGTATTATTTGTTTCAGGGGTACAGGTCTGTGATTCATCAGTCTTAAACAATTCACAGCATTCACCATAGCACATACTCTCCCCAATGTCCATCACCCAGCCACCCCATCCCTCCCACCCTCCACCACTTCAGCAACCCTCAATTTGTTTCCTGAGATTAAGAGTCTCTTATGGTTTGTCTCCCTCTCTGGTTTCGTCTTATTTCACTTTGTCTTCTCTTCCCCTATGATCCTCTGTTTTGTTTCTTATATTCCACATATCAGTGAGATCGTATGATAATTGTCTTTCTCTGACTTATTTCGCTTAGGATAGTACCCTCTAGTTCCATCCATATTGTTGCAAATGGCAAGATCTCATTTTTTGATGGCTGCATAATATTCCATTGTGTATATATACCACATCTTCTTTATCCATTCATCTGTCGATGGACATCTTGGCTCTTTCCATGGTTTGGCTATTGTGGACACTGCTGCTATGAACACTGGGGTGTAGGTGCCCCTTTGGATCACTACATTTATATCTTTAGGGTCAATTCCAGTTGTCTGGCACAAACTTCTGAGTGGGGGTTGCTAGTCATTTACTATACGAGAAAGCACTAGAGGACCAGCAGTCTGGAGTTGATGATCATGAACTCCTACAGGGGAATATTAAATCTGAATTGAGTGTGATACACCCAAGTGGAAAGTTCAAGCAGGCACAACAATACTTAGAAGAAAGCCCGGATAAGAAAGATTTTGGAAGTTATCAAGATAAAGCTAGCAAGAGAAGCCATGGAAACAGATGGCATCGCCCAGAAAGAGAATACAGAGTAAGGAGAGAAGGACAAGAAAGGAGCTTGAATGAAGAGAGGAAACAGACAAAGCAAAGAAAATGGCGAAAGAGAAGCCAGAGAGGCAGGAAGAGAGCCCAGAGTCCTCCTGACCACATCAGCATGTGTTACTGAAACAAACCAAAAGGAATCCTATTCTATACCCATGTGAACTTAATGGTGAGAATATTAGGTGAGGTAGCAGAGGGGAGGGGAAGATGCCAGGAGGAGCAGGTGGGGGCATATTTCAGGGTAGGATAAGGCTCCCTCCACACACTGCCTCCTCCCTCCACGCCCCTGCATCCTGCCCCCACTCTCAACTAGTTCTGCTGACAGAGGGCATCTTGCTGGCTGCCCTTCTTTTTCTTGTGGCTGCACTCAGCCTACCTCTGTGTGGCTGACCCTCATTCCTCTGGGTCCAGGTGACCAAGAAGGGAATAGAAGTCCCAAGAAGTGAGAAGGGAAATGCCTGCAGCCTCCAGGAGAGAAGGTGATGAAGTCTATATCTCTGAGCTCCTTCTAACTAACCACTCATCAGATTACCAGAATCTACACTTTGGGGGCACCTGCGTGGTTCAGTTGGTGAAGCGTCAGACTCTTGATTTTGGCTCAGGTCTTGATCTCGGGATCGTGGGATTGAGCCCTGCAACAGGCTCCACACTCATCTAGGAGTCTGCTTGAGATTCTCTCTCTCTCTCTCTCTCCCTCTGCCCCTTCCCTCTCTGGAAGGAAGGAAGGAAAGAAGGAAGGAAGGAAGGAAGGAAGGAAGGAAGGAAGGAAGGAAGGAAGGAAGGAAAAGCAAGCAAGAAAAGGAAGGAAGGAAGGAAGGAAGGAAGGAAGGAAGGAAGGAAGGAAGGAAGGAAGGAAGAAAGAAAGAAAGAAAGAAAGAAAGAAAGAAAGAAAGAAAGAAAGAAAGAAAGAAAGAAAAGAAAGAAAGGAGGGAAGGAAGGAAGAAAGAAAAAAAGAAAGAAAGAAAGAAAGAAAGAAAGAAAGAAAGAAAGAAAGAAAGAAAGAAAGAAAGAAAGAAAGAAAGAAAGAAAGAAAGAAAGAAAGAAAAAGAAAGTCTCTATTTTGGTAAGATCCTTGGATGACTGGTGTGTATGTTCAAGTTTGAGGCACACTGATGTGTAGTAAGAGTCAGCAACCTTTGTAAAGAACCAGAGTAAATATTTTAAGTTTTGTGGGCCACATGGCCTCTGGGATGACTACCCAATGGAGCCGCTATAGATTAAAAGCAGACACAGACAATACATGACAAATGGGGTGGCGGCACTCCATTAAAGTTTATTTATGGATACTGAAATCTGAATTTCATATAATTTTTTCCATGTCACCAAAAAGTAATTCTATTCTAGGAGAATGTTAGAATTTTGTAGGTAGGAGTATTAGATGATTTCATAAAACCTAGGGAGTAAAAGAGACATACAATTTTAAAAATAAGATCCTGTGTGAAGACTGTGTTTATTCTACATGGAAATAAAGCCGCCAAGCTCAACATTAGTCATCATGCAGAAAGAGTCCTATGCAGATGTAGCTTGGCCTCACACCTAAAAACTGAAGACCAAGAGCTTCTGTGAGTTGATTTCACATAAAAGTTTCATATTTTCTTAATTGCAAAAACAGTTGCCTCACTGAGGTGTCTCAGACACCTGCAAAGTTCTTGTAGGCATTTAAACCAAATATTTCCTTCTTAGGATTCATTTTGTGAGTTTTTTTGTATCCTTGTTGGTTTACCATTCTCTCTCTAGACAGGTGGGTCAGAGGGTTGTGTGAAATGCTGGCTGTATCCATTAATTTAAATGAAGAATAACCTGTTCTTCATATGAAAAATAAAACCACCAAAATGTCTCTCTCACTAGAATAAATTAGGTCTTTTCCTTAATATTTGAACTGCTCTACCTTAAAACAGATTATTTTTTTCGTTAATCCATTTTCTTGGCATTTCACATGACATCCTCCTACTCTTCTTGGATTTCTTTTCATCATATCTTGCCAAAAGAATTAAAAAGTGAAAGCTGAAACTTTTCATTTCATTTTTAAAGTCATTTGATGAGAAGATGAAATGAAATTCCATCAACTGGCCAAAGTCCATCTCTTCTAAATACTTCACTGTACACATACCTAAGTCACACACAAAGTTGTAACAGTTAAAAAAAAAAAAAAAAAGATGTTCTATATAATACAAGGTGGTATAATTTAAGCAACCATGAAGAATCTGAAACTATTCAAAGCAAAAGTAAGTCAAAATCTACAATCAAGAACCCCATTTCTTCATGACCCCCTCTTTTTAAAAACAACCTGTTTATTTAATATCAGAAAATGAAAATTTTACACTTGGAACTATGAGCTATAAAACATTTAGTTCTTCGTTCAACTCTTTTTTTAAAGATTTTATTTATTTATTTGAGAGAGAGAGAGAAGAGAGAGAGAGCATGCACAAGGAGAGGGAGGGGCAGAAGGAGAGGAAGAAGCAGGTTCCCCACTGAGCAGAGAGCCCAATGCAGGACTCGATCCCAGGACCCCAAGATCATGACCTGAGCCAAAGGCAGACGTTTAACTGATGGAGCCACCCAGGTGCCCCTTCATTCAACTCTTAAAGAAGGAAGGATAAGGTGTCTTGATGGCTTCCATTTCTTTTCAGGTGTATAGAGACTTAATGATCATCATCTCCCCCAAAAGAGTGAGGAGTTACCACCTACCTGTGGGACAGGAGACTCAAAAAGAAAGTTGGAAACGGGAGATGTCCTGTTTCTCTTCCCCTTAGATGCAGAAAGCCACAAAAGAACTGATCTTGAACCCGCCTTGAAGGCAACAGAAAGCTGGATAATTAACAAAATCATGATTTGCCTTGAGCCCACTGGAGGGCTGAAGCAGCAAGGCAGACAGGTGAACTAAATTTCAGATGACCGGCCCCTAGGAGAGGCCAGATGCTTGAACTGCTTCACCTGTGGCAAAGCACAGCCTAAAGAGACAACCGCCTTAAAAGAGGGTTTAAACAGAAAATGGATACATGTTTAAGGAATTCTTCAAGGCCAAGTGTGGGCCAGAGGCACATTCACATCCCTGGTTGCTCCAGACACAAGAAGTCTGCACACCTTCACCCCACCTCCCAACCCCCACACCAGTGCACAGGCACATAAGGCCCTACCTACTTTCCCTTTGTGAAGAGAGACCTTTCTGGAAGCGGGAGTCAAGGACTGTGGGTCCTGGGGAAGGGGCAGGAAGTGCTCCCACCCACGCAGCCTAGGCAAAGAGTCACTGCCTCTGGGCAGGGATAGAAGCCAACATCACTTGTGGAGGTGTAGAAAACCCTCCCTCTCTCCCCCATCCCAGGCAAAGATGAATTCCAAGGGCAGAGTCAGGCAGTCCCCCTCAAACCCACCACCAACCATGTACTAGCAACAAGGGCTAGCAATCTCCCAACAGGGCTGGGGTGTGGAGCAACAAGGCAACCCACCTGTCACTCATCTCAAGCAAAGGTCCAGTGCTGCTTCTGTGTTGACACAAAGCAGAGATCAGCTACCACTCTGGGAAGAGCAGGGAACTCTCTCCTGCCCCAAATTCTCTGTAGATACTAGCCAGAGTCTGGCTGCCATTTGAGGGACAAGAATGCTGAAAAAGCCCTACTCTTGAGATCCATGTACCCAGGGTCTGGCTCAGTGAGCCTGGACCAAGAGAATGAAAAGCCCCCACTTCACCCCCATCTTTAGCTTCCCACCTAATAACCAACAACTGGCAGGATACAACATGAGAAAGATAAGAGCCATAGAGACAGACCCTGTATGCAGTCAGGGCTGCTTTAAGTTGCAGGTGAACTGGGAACACAGAAAAATCCACCAGCACCCTAGAATCCACATTAAGTACAAGGCAGCGGCAATCAGCCCCCCCCCACACCACCCAGAGGCATTAAAAGACTGTGATACATTAATAGTAATTATAGCAACAACAAAACCTACAATCAGCTTGAACCGAAGCTGCATTGGCTCAATCTTCTCTCATGAAACACTGAGAAGAGTCATGCCCATTTCTGGGCATAAATACTATCTACCTCAGGCTCTACTATTCTTTTTACACAAAATGTCCAGTATTCAATCAAAAATGACAAGACACACAACAATAACAAGAATGTATATTGTGCTATTTTGGGATGTATTCTATATATGTCAGGTCAAGTTGGAAGTGATTTTCTTTTATATTCTTACTGATTTTCTATCTAGTAATTCCATTAATTAGAGAGGACTATTGAAATCTCCAGCCATTATTGCCGAACTGTCAACTTCTCCTTTCTATTCTGTCCTGTTGCATCATGTATTTTGAGACTGTTGTGAAATATATAATCATTTATAAATGTTAGAGCTTCCTGATGCATTGAATCTTTATGATTAAGAAATATTCCTCATTTCCAGTAATATTCTTTGTCAAAAAGTCTATTTTGTCTGAAATTTATATGATCACTCCAGCTCTCTTATGGCTACTTTCAGCAAGCTGTACCTTTTCTGTTCTTTTATTTTCAACCAATGTTTGTCTTTAAACAAATATGTATGTCTGATACACAGTGCATAGTGGGGTCTTGCTTTTTTATCCAGATGATCTCTGCCTTTTAACATAACTACCGATGTAGTTGAACTGATGTCTGACAATTCACCATTTGTTTTCTATATGTCTCTTGTTCTATTTATCCTATTCCTTTTTACTGCCTTCCTTTGCATAAATATATATTTTCTACGATACTACTTTAATTCCTCTACTACTTCTTAAGCTTTTCTTAGTTTTGTTTTTTATTGTTGTTGTGGGTTTTTTTGGAGGGGGGGTTAGATAGTCATCTCAGAATTAATATGTACCATTAATTCATCACAATCCACTTCAGATTAATAGACTTTTTTTTTTTTTTTTTTTGACTAATCTCTACACCCAACGTGGGGCTTGAATTCACAACCCCCAGATCAAGAGTCACATGCTTGGGGCACCTGGGTGGCACAGTTAGTTCAGCGTCCCACAGTTTCAGCTCAGGTCATGATCTCAGGGTCGTGAGATTAAGCCCTGCATCAGCCTCATCCTCAGTGTGGAGTCTGCTTAAGATTCGCTCTTCCTCTGCCCCTCCCTTCTGTTCACACTCTCTCTCAAATAAATAAATAAGTAAATAAATCTTAAAAAAAAAAAAAAAAAAAGAGTTGCTTGCTCTACTGACTGAGCCAGGCAGGCACCGACCACAATACTGACTTAATTTTGATAAAATATGGCAAATTTCATCCAGTAAGCTCCATTTCCTCTCCCCATCTTTTATGGTACTACCATAAATATTAAATCTATTTATGTTATAAACCAAAATCAGTCTTACATTTGCTTTAAACAATGGCAAGCTCTTTTTTTTTTTTTTTTGTATGCTCTTTTTTTAAAGATTTATATTTATTCATCTGAGAAAGAGCACAAGCAGGGGACGGGCAGAGGGGGAGGGAGAAGAAGACTCCCCATTGAGCAGGGAGCCCGACACGGGGCTAGATCCCAGAACCCTGGGATCATGACCTGAGCTGAAGGCAGATGCTTAACCAACTGAGCCACCCAGGTGCCCCAACAATGGTACATTTTTAAAGAAATTCAAAGAAAAGAGAAAAAATGTATAGTCTTTTATATTGACCTACATTTTTATCACTTCCTGTGCTCTTCATTCCCTCTGGTGGACCTGAGTTGCTATCTATTGTCATTTCCTTTCATCCTGAAGGACTTCCTTCAGTATTTCTCATAGGGCAGGTATACTCCCAGTGTTTATTAATTTGGGAAGTCTATTTCACTCTTGTTTTCTGAATAAATAGCTTCGTCGGATAGAGAATTCTTGAACGACACTCTTTCTGCATTTTAACTTGTCATTCTACTGCCTTCTGGACGCCATTATATCCTGATAAGTCAGACACTCTCCACACCATTGTTTCTCTTTGACGATGAGTCATGTTTCTCTTGCTGCTTTCAAGACTTGCTCTTAGGTCTTTCCACAGTTATACTGTGATGGGACTAGATGTGCTTCTCTTGGTGTTTATCCTTCGTGGAGTTTTTTGAGCTTCTTGAATCTGCAGATTACAGGTTTTCATCAAATTTGGGGAAGTTTTAGATCACTGTTGCTTCAATTTTTTTGTTTGTTTGTTTGTTTGCCCCTTTCCCTCTCATCTCTCCATGACTCCTATCACAAATATTAGAGACTTATCCTGATATCATCCCACAGGTCTCTGAGGCTCTGTCCTTTAATCTCATTTCTTCCCTCTGTTCTCTGAATTGGGTAATTGCTATCTTCAGGGTCAGTTATTCTTTTATCTGCCATTTCAAATCTGTTGTTGAGCCTATCTGCTGAATTCTGCACTGGGTTATCTTACTTTTCAATGCCAGATTGCCTTTTGTTTTTATTTTTTTTTTATAGTTTCCATTTCTCTTTTGCAATTTCTTACTTGCTTTCACTGCCAGTTTTTTCAAATAAATAAACCCAATTTCCTTTAATTTTATTGAACATATTTATAATAGATGCTTAGAGGTCTTTGAGCCCATTTAGAATTAGTTTCTGTTGATTGCTTTTTTTTTTCCCCTGAATATTCATCACACTTTCCTGCTTCCTTGTATGTCTCATAATTTGGGATTGAAAACCGGATATTTTAGATAATATGTTGTAACAGCTCTAATTCTGTCTCATTTTTCTGAGGATTTTTTTTTCCCTTTTCTTTGTAACTTGCCTGGACTTACACTATAAAATCTGTCTCCCCTGTGGTGGGCAGTCACTGATGTTTCTGGACAGATTTTTTAAATTTTTATTTGTGTCCTTTTTTACCATGGTGCCTTCATGGTTTCCCCTGTGTCTACAGAGCATCATGGGTCAGTCAACACTTGGAGTAGAAGCTGAACTCAAACATCTTATGCCCAAAAAGCGTACAACCTCTCCTGATTGATAAGTCTGGGAATGTATTCAAATTTGCAATCAGTTAGGTCTTCCTTGGGATTTCTTTTCTTCTCAGTTCTCTCAGGTCTCCTTTGTGCATCTCTGTGGTTTTCCATTCAGCCAGGGAGATCTGAAGAGCTGAGCTCATTTCTATGATGTCTCTATTAAGTTGCTAACTGGCCTAACACTCACCCCAAGAACTGCACTGTCACATTAGTAAAGCAGATGATTTTTCCTGTTCCCAGCCACATTCATCACTGTTAGCCAACAAATCCACAGGTTTTCATCCCCACTTCCCACCTCAAATCAAGTACACCCTCTCTGGCCAGTAAAGCTACTGGTTTTCCCATCCAGCCCCACATTCTTGATTCCACTGTTGGGGTGTTGGGTGGAGTGGACAGAAGGGGGAGACAGCCTGATTTAGCAAAAAAAAAAAAAAAAAATACAGGATATCCAGTTAAATTTGAAATTCAGGGGCGCCTGGGTGACTCAGTCGGTAAAGTATCTGCCTTCAGGTCAGGTCATGATTTCAGGGTCCTGGGATCAAGCCCCGCATCTGGCTCCCTGCTGAGCAGGGAGCCTGCTTCTCCCTCTCCCCTGCTTGTGCTCTCTCTCTCTCTCTCTCTCTCTCAAATAAATAAAATTTTTTAAAATAAATAAATTTGAAATTAAAATAAATCATGAGTATTTTTTAGTATATATCCCATGCAATATTTTGGATATGCCTATGCTAAAAAATTAATTTTTGTTTATCTGAACTTCAAACTTAACTGGACATCTTGTATTTTATCTGGCAACCCTAGGGAATGCAGGGAGCCTCAGACAAGAGGGCCACATAACCTGCTGTTCTTCCCTAAAACGCTCTCATTTTCAAGGATAAATTGCTCTCTGTTGCCTGCCTTTGGTCAATTTCGAGTGCCTCTCAATGATTATTTTTGACAGTTGTACCCAGTTTTGTACTTGCTTTTGCAGAGAGGAACTACCATCATCTTTATCCCACCATAATGGGAAGCTGACCTCCCTCAAATTATAAATATTAATATTTTCCGAAAATTTTGGTTGATCTCAGCTATGGCAAGAGACTAAAGGGAAAAAATGTCAGTTCTCTTCATAATCGGACCCCAGTTTATGGAAAGAGTTCTCAGATCTTTACGAAATGGTCCACAGAGAAACTCCAAAGATGAAGTTACCTGTGGAGGGTGTCGGGTCTCTTGTACAGTTAATGCCAGTTTCCCCACAGTGAGGTGGTCCTTCTGGACTCTTTGCTGGTGGTGAAAACCACAATTTCCAAGTAGTGAATTCTCCACCAGCATGGGGCATCCGGGGAAGGTCTGAGCTTAGTAACGGTGGAGTACCCAGCAGTAAAGTAGGAGAGAGGCCAGCCCAAAGATGGTTCAGGGTGCAAAGACTGGCAAAAAGCAATGATTTGAGCTTCATTACTTATATTTTATTTTCCCACTGAACAAGCAAACAAAGGATGCAAAAATACATGCGAGACCAAGAGATTTCGATATTGTGTATGGATACAGTTCTGTTGCACCTCCCTTGCTCCTCAAGAAAGTGCATCTGAGTTTTAGTATTTTCAGCAGCCTGTGTGAAACGAGGGACCCTCTCCTGAGATCCAGAGAAGCCAGCCACTGCAGATTTACCACCTCTCGTTTCATTGTAGGCCCGCGAGCTTGCATTGGAGGTAGGCAGGATACATCAGTATCAGTACCCACACACGTATTACTGTGCGTCAAGCAAGCTAATATCCAAGTTCAGGTTCAAAATGTACCACTGCATGACAGTAACATAACACAGCTGTTAGCACTGACAAAGCACTTTATACAACATAGCTATCACCATACTTGATTCCTTGCCAGGCCACTGGGCTGCCAGACATTTCCACGGAGCAGGCCTGGTGATGGCCCACCACAGAAAAAGACAGATTTTTGAGGTCAAAACCAGGCTTCTGGGATGCCTGGGTAGCTCAGTCAGTTAAGCATCTGTCTTTGGCTCAGGTCATGATCCCAGAGTCCTGGGATCAAGCCCCATATCAGGCTCTCTGCTCAGCAGGGGTCTGCTTCTCCCTCTCCCTCTCCCCCAGTGCCTTGTGCCCTCTCTCTCTCTCTCTCTCTGTCAAATAAATAAATAAATAACCAGGCTCCGCCACTCATCACTTGTGCAAAAGAGACATAAAAGGAAATGCAAAGCATAACCCAGGTCTTGAGGGCCTGTTTGAGGTTTTCTTAAAATTAAGCAACAGTTGAAGGAGAACAATTTTAAGGGTATTACTGCCTTTCCTGTAAGTGAAGATCTAATGGAATAGGGAGCCGATATTGAAGGTCTACAAAATACATTTTGGCATGGATTATTCTTCCAACTGAAAATAAACTTTACGTCACAATACAATTTTGTCCCTCCAGTTGTGAAATTCCTAACAATTCCTTTTCATCCAAATGTGGACCAAAATACTGGTCGGGCTTGTATAGATATTTTGGATGACCCCGATAAGTGGAATACAAGCTATACCTTGAGCAGCATCTTACTTACCCTCCAGGTTATGCTTTCTAATCCAGTGCTAGAAAATCCAGTGAATTTGGAAGCAGCCCAAATGCTGATTAAAGATGAATCTCTGTACAAACAAGAAGTTCTAAGACTTTTCAACCAACCAACACAATTGAGAAATAACAGCCCTGAGTTTCCTAAAGATCCAGATAAACTTATCAGATCAACTAAAGCAATCTCATTTAATGATTACTACAAGACATGGTCCGGAATAGCAACATCAAAAGCCACAGAATACTATGGAAGTCCATGTAAGGTGGTCTAGCCTTATCTTTTGTCCTTTTGTATATATTAATCTCCTAATTATTCTCCACTTGTCTTGCTTTCCAAGACTAATTGACATATATTTATAATCAGAAGGCAATAAACTTCTCTGTTACCTCTATATATGAAACATTCAACAACTCTTAATTTAGTTCCTCTTTTGTATAGAGTCCTGGACTGAAGCCTCATTCAAAGTCAGAAAGAAAGATAGACAATTGGAAGAATAAAAGATGACGTTCTCAAAAAAAAAAAAAAAATTAAGCAACAGTTTCATTCCTTAAGCAGTTCCCCATTTTGCCTCAGTGCACCTCCAACTCTTTCTCCCCCACATCACTCAGAGCAGAGTACTTTTAAAATCCCAGATCTGCTCATTTTGTGCTCTTAATGCATGGATCAGGTCTCTTAGATCCTTTGTGCCATGCTTACCATACAGTTGGTAATAGGTAATAACATCTAATACAGACATACCTCATTTTATTACATCTTGCTTTATTGCACTTTGCAGATTTCACAGTTTTTACAAATTGATGGTTTGTGGGCAACCTTGCATCGGGCAAGACTGTCAGCCCCGTTTTTCCAACAGCATGTGTTCACTCACTTCATGTCTGTGTCATATTTCATTGATTTTTGCAATATTTCAAACTTTTTCATTATGACTCTATTTGTCATGGGGATCTGGGATGAGGGATTACAACTCACTGAAAGTTCAGATGATGGTTAGCATTTTTTAGCCATAAAGTGTTGTTGTTTTTTTTTAATTAAGGTATGTACCTTGGGGGGGGGGTTAAGACGTAATGTTATCTCGCACTTAATAGACTACAGTATAGTGTGAATATGACTTTCATATGCACTGGGAAACCAAAAAATTCATTTGATTCACTTCACTGTGATACTCACTTTATTTTGGCAGTCTGAAACCAAACCTGCAGTACCTCTGAGGTCTGCCTATACTTCATGAGCTCTCAGTATATGCCAAGCATTGCTCCAAACAGTTTAACATGCAAAAACACATTAAATTCTTAAAACAAGCCATTAAAAAATGGTATGAACTATTATCCCAATTTTCTGGATAAAAGAAGCGAGAAACAGTGAGTTAAGTACCTTGCCCAAAGGGAAGTAGCTGAGAAATGTGAAAGCTGGAATTCAAGCCAGGTGGATGCTAGATCCAGAGCCTACCCGCCGACCATGAGGTCCTACCGCCTTGCTTTAAATAAAAGAAGGAGCATGAAGAATGACTTTATAAAACAAACAGGTGCAATTCACTCAGATCAAAGCAGTGCTACATTTTATACAGTTGCCTTTTTAAAGGGGACACTTCATTTCAACACCCTCAATGGAAAGAAAGTTTAATTTACTCTCCTAGATAATCGTAAAAAGATTAAAAGTAGATGCGCTAACTTGACATAAAGCTCCTGGGAACAATAAAATTCAAACCAAGATAAATTATCATTTCATTGCTACTATGTGTCATACGGACTTGCTAGTTAATATGCCCGGAGTGTGCGGTTTCATTAATCCACCCCATGCCCTGCAGTTCAAATACCCAATCACAGCCCTCGGCACTAATCTGCTGTTTGTATCAGGGCTTCTACTCTCAATCCATATACTAATAACTTCTGTTTTTACAATGCTTTGCAACATAGCAATTACCTTCTTATACATCATCTCACTTAATCTTCACAACAGCCCTATGAGACTGGCATTATAATTCTCATTTTTTTCACTCGCATCTAGTGACAAGCAGGGGGTTTAAGTAATTTTTTCAAGCTCACACAGCTTGTGAGTGGCAGACTACAGACTCAAGTCTCAACCCAAACTTCAAGTGTAAGCCCTTACCTATCACACAAAACTAGACAAAAAGAGACACGGCTTTTACCAGGATATCAAATTCTATGACTTGTGGGGCCACACAGACTAAAACGGAGTAATAATATTTATGGTTATGTTAGAATCTTGTCTCAGAAGAGCTCAAATACCTTATGCTTCATTAATCTTGCCAGATGTCTCTAACGGGTCCTAACAGGGAAGGCCAAGGACTGGACAAGAGCGCCCGTCGGTCCTGATGCCAACAACCCACCCAGCACGCCCAGCTCTCTGACTCCCCAGTGGCTCCCTAGTCAGGGAACATGGCCTCGGTTTTCTTTGCTTTCCAGTCACAGAACACAGAGGAAGAAGTTGAAAGTAACCTCCTTGTTTCCAAGGAAGATGTGTTTAGGTATCTCTCTAACAAAAAGAGCAAAGTGGAAGAAAGATCACAGATTCACGGAAGAGTAAGCAGAAGAGGTGACAGATCTCATTTTTCCACTCACTATTTGACTAGCTTTGGGCAAATCTCTCCCCAGGCCCCCGACGGCTCATCTATTAGAAAAAAACAGGCGGGGCGCCTGGGTGGCTCAGATGGTTAAGCGTCTGCCTTCGGCTCAGGTCATGATCCCAGGGTCCTGGGATCGAGTCCCGCATCGGGCTCCCTGCTCCTTGGGAGCCTGCTTCTCCCTCTGCCTCTCTCTCTCTCTCTGTCTCTCATGAATAAATAAATAAAATCTTAAAAAAAAAAAAAAGAAAAGAAAAGAAAAAAACAGGCGTCTAGGGGCAGCTGGGTGGCTCAGTCGATTAAACACCTGCCTTCAGCTCAGGTCATGATCCTAGGGTCCTGGGATCGAGCCCCGCGTCGGGCTCCCTGCTCAGTGGGGAGTCTGCTTCTCCCTCTCCCTCTCCTACTCCCCCTGCTTGTGCTTTCTCTCTCTCTGTGTCAAATAAATAAATAAAATCTTTAAAAAAAGAAAAAAAACAGGTGTCTAGGTCAGGCCTCTGCAAATGAGGGCCTGTGGGTCAGATCCTGCCCAACGCCCGTTTTATAAATCAGGTTGATTCGAACATGGCCACATCCATCCATCATTTATCACTGACAGCTGCTTTCACACGAAAGCAGAGCTAAGCAATTGAGACAGAAACCATCTGGCCTGCGAAGCCTCAAATATTTACTACCTGGCCCTTACAGAAGAAGGCTGGCAAAGCCTTTGCCCTCTGGCTACAAATCTCTGGCCATAACAGAATATTAAAAAAAAAAACTGTATTTGAATTCCAAAATAGCCATGAGAAACAAGGAGGGGGATGCTTTGGCACATACATTTCTGAGGACTCTGTGAAAGATAGAAGATGACTGGGATCCAAGGAAATGGGAAGCCTTGGCCCATAGCATACACAAGAAAGGGGCAGCCACAGAAGGTAGGAACGAGCCCAGGGAACGCCTCGCTCACACAAGGAGGCCAGAGAGGACGGGGGTCCCTGCACAGCAGGCAGCATGGCTGGGTAGGCACCCTAAGCAAGCGGTCCATGCCCAGCCTCAGCAGCAAAAGGCATCCACCCCCAGACTGGAGCCCTGAGGTGGAAACCGTGAGCCGGGACATAAGGACAGTGTCCCTGGTGACTGGCCACCCACAACCCCCTCCAGAAAAAAGGGGTTTGTATCCCAGGGAGAATAGCTACTGGTATATTCTCCCCACTGGCATAGTCCCCAGTCCCTGGAGAATGGTGTCATAAAGAGATGAAGCATCCACAGGGGAGGAGAGAGGGAATTTAGCTATGGGGTGAGTACATGTTGCCTACCCTTAGCACCATGACTGAGCGGCCCAGGTACAAACACAGCCTCATGTCTGAGTAGACAGTGTTCCTAAAGCAAACAGAACAAGACTTTAGATAACAGCATAAAATATATAAAGACCCCTCTGGAATAAATTTAAAAAGACTATGAATCTAAAGAAAAACAACAACAACAACCTAGCCAAAGGATATGAAAAGGCAAGGCAACTCGCCAAAAAAAAATCACCAATGGGGGGGCGCCTGGGTGGCTCAGATGGTTAAGTGTCTGCCTTCGGCTCAAGTCATGATCCCACCGTCCTGGGATCGAGCCCCGCATCGGGCTTCCTGCTCAGCGGGGAGCCTGCTTCTCCCTCTCCCACTGCCTCTCTCCCTGCTCATGCTCTCTCCCTCTCTCTCTCTCTCTCTCTCTCTGTGTGTCTCAAATGAATAAATAAATAAAAGAAAAAAGAAAAATCACCAATGGCTGTAAATACGTTTAAAGGTTCGAATTCGAGTAACAGAATTCAGGACTCAGACTCAAAGAACAATTACCTGCTACCCGTGCCCCCTGCCCCCATCGGACCAGTAAAACTCCAACAGGGCAAACAACTGTTGTTGAGGGAGGAGGTGCACTTTATCAGCCTAGTTAGCATTAAATATGCATATTTCCTTTATTTTTTTAAGGATTTATTTATTTTAGAGGGGGCAGGGGGAGAGGGAGAGAGACTCTCAAGCAGACTCCGAGCTGAGCCTGGAGCCCGACACAGGGCTCGATCTCACGACCCCGAGATCATGACCTGAGCCAAAGACAGACGCTTAACCGACTGAGCCACCCAGCCGCCCCTAGAGCATATTTTTAAGTAAAGAATGCAAGTTCCATGCCAGAGCACAGATAATGACATAATTCGTGTAGGGACATATATAAAACAAGCCTACGTATTTCTCTTTGTGCATACGTGTGTGTAAATTCAGAGAAACAGATGAAAAAGGAGGCACACTACATTGAGGACAGTGATTGAGGAGAGGAGCAGGGAAGAGGGACCAAGGAGACATCTCACTTGATCCATATTGTTAGAATTCTGAACAGTAAGTATGCACTTAGTTATTACATGTTTAATTATAAGATCTTGAAAGAAAAAATGTCTGAAGGAAATAAAATATTCACTCTATATTTTTATTTTTTTTAAGTAGGCTTCATGCCCCATGTGGGGCTTAAACTCATGACCCCGAGATCAAAACCTGAGATCAAGAGTCAGATGCCCCACCAACCAAGCCACCCAGGCACCCCCCATTCTATATTTTTTAATGACTGGCATAAACAGCATTTCTTTAAAGACACACAAAAGGGGCGCCTGGGTGGCTCAGTCGTTAAGCGTCTGCCTTCGGCTCAGGTCATGATCCCGGGGTCCTGGGATTGAGCCCCGCATTGGGCTCCCTGCTCGGCGGGAAACCTGCTTCTCCCTCTCCCACTCCCCCTGCTATGTTCCTGCTCTCGCTATCTCTCTCTCTCTGTCAAATAAATAAATAAAATCTCAAAAAAAAATAAATAAAGACACACAAAAGTATTAGTAGCCATTAGCATTAC